ACAGTTTATTAGAGTAAACAATACTTTTGCTGGTGCCTAGAGAACCCCAGGGAGCATAAAAAACCTAAAAAAAAGTCTGAGTGTTGTCGCTTTTTAACCTTCCGCTTTCAACTAACGAACCAACCGACCAAGTTAATAGTAGACACGCTCCAGTTAAGCCATTCAAAGTGGCAAAAGAGTGTTACTACCGGGTCTCGCTGAGGGTTACCGTTCTCATTTTGTTCAGAAATATTATATATATAAGTATTATCAGCTGCAGTAACTCCTCCCAGTCGTTCATTCTGCATTGTGTCCTAAAAACTCTCAATCAGCATAAATTCTAAAATTGCCATTCGCGAATTTTTATCCCCATTGAACTGACCGCCTTCAATTATCTGCAGGAATTGCACTCAAAACCTGCGCACACCAACAATTTACTTTACTTTCGCTTCGTAGAGGCATCGGATGTAGTCTTCAATACTCTTATACTCGTATGCGCAGGCATTTATTCCGCCTTCAACCCACAGCTCGCCGCCTCCATGCGTTGTCTTCTGTGCAGCACTCAAAAGAGCTGTCAATATGACATATTTCAATTTCAGCTACCTACACCGCCAACAACTTCAAAAGCGAACGCCCAGCCTCCGGTCGATTTGAAACAAATGCCAAAGCCCAAGTTCAACAGAAGCCGCCTAGAAATATTTTGATTGCCGAACATTGTCAACATTGTAGCGACAATCTTTCAGCCCTCCACCCGCCATGTGTGTGTTGGCCGACTGTTGCTGTTGTCCACAACCCGCACAATTCAGTTGTGTAAGTGAAATAGTTGCGGCGACTCATACTCATCGCTGAAATGCAACTCTGTATACCTTACATACACCCGCTCCGGCCGTCGCAAATGTCCCATCGCGATATGAAACGTTCGCATCATTGTCATTTAGTTGGCTGCCAGGTTAGCTTGTTGATGTTGATTCACATTGTGGCGCATTGTTGGCGGTTTGCTAAATCGCTCCAGCGCCGCCTTTGTAGTTTTGTCCGTTGACCGCGCGGGCGGCATACATCAAAGCGGACCGCAACGCCGCCGCACACTATCCGCATAGTTTGGGGCTGGCGGCTCGCGTTATTGTCAGTGGGCGCATGCGTTCCCGCGCATCATTTTGTGTAATTTTTGTCATTGCATCTGGAAGTTTCAGTTTTATTGCAATCGAACCAGACTGCAGCGTTGGCGCAGGTTAATGTGCTTGTTATTGTCTTTGTTGTAGTTTTTGTTTTGGTTGTGACCGTGTTTGCTATTTGGCGGCAGTTTTTATAATTGCACTGACTGTTTGGTTGCTACTGTTTGCTTCGCTCGAATTGCCGTCGCCTGTCACTGTTGTCGCTTCAAGGCGAATCCTCTCGCTTTGGTTCGGCCTGTGCTCAACTGGCAGAGCCCTACGTTGAAGAATTTTAGATATTGGTTGATAATAGGTATTCATTGATGTGCTTTAAAAGTTTACCGACTACGTCGAATGGCTCATACAGACATGCTGATGTGGCATGAATTGTGGGTTGAGAGAGATGAGGGACGGAGTTAGCGCAATCGAGCTTCTAGTAAGGGTGTATGGAACAAAATCGAAATCTTATAGCGAGAGCTCAGTTCACTCAAATGTAGCGATCGCAGGGTCATGCTTACGAATCACGGCCTGATCAACATCGAAAATTATGAATTTTTTTATTTTTTTCGCGTTGCTCTCGGCAGAGAATTCCAATCCCTTCGAATGTATTTCTGAATTAAATGAAAAGCGAGGGCGGCTTTAAATAAACTAGAGATCCCTCCATTAAGGCCTACATGGACTCTATTAAATATATATAAAATGCCCCTTTTAACCGCTCAAGCGATTTTCGGCCGAGCTCCTTCTCCAAATTGTAGTTTTTTTGTGCGTATTGAAAAATCCAACAAATGGAGGGATCTAAATTTTGTACTAAGCCGCCTCCGAACGGCTGATGGTTTTTTATGAAGAGTTTTTATTTTATGTCAGAAATACACTCGGAGGGGTGGACATTCCCTGTCGAGGGGCGACCGCAATTAGAATTTCTATAACTTTTTGGATGTTAGTACGAAACCGAATGGTAGTATGCAAGCTAACCACTCGGCTAACACGGTCGTCCAACTATCGGACGACGATATTTGCGCACGAGCAACATTCGATGAGATGGGAGTACCTTCGGGTAATATTTTAACGAAAGATAGTTGGAAAGATCGTAAAATGTTCAGTTTTGAATTGTTTTAATGTAGTATCGCTGTGCTTTATTTGGGAGTGGTCGAGCCCTTACCTGTGTGAAAGAATAAGTATATTAAGATATTAGCCAAGTAGGCCATGAGTCTTAGAGTTCTGGGCCTTAGGGTGGTACTAAAGTTCTAAGTGGAAATATAAAATACATTTCGACATGAAAAATGAAGAAACTCTACTTTAAAGGATAAGACCAGTGTCTTTTACAAGTTTTCTATTAATATCAGACTCCAGGCAAATAGGGGTTAGAGGCTATTAATGTGCTCAAGCTCGTAATATGGCATAGAAATTTCAAAACTTTATTGTTTGCTAATTACAAAACCAGAATTCACATTCTTTATGTCAAAACACGAAACACCTTAAAGTTTTTTTTTTTTCATTCAATAAGGTGTATTTTGTGATCCTTTTAATGATTGCGTGGGAAAACCAACAGTCAAGAACGTTTGAACGAAAAAATATTTGGTTTCGTGATATGTATTTAATATTTAAAAAACTCGTTCTTCCTTTCGTTTATTTATTTAGGAAGGCTTACGTAAACGAGTCACCCGCCTGTCAAATATGTTTTCGCTGACTTGTAGGACCTGTGCGGAAGATATCTGATTTGTTTATTTGACTACGCGGTGTCGTTCACAATTCTGAGTTTACCTAAAACAAACATTGCTGGCCACTAAATTGTGTAAACATACATAGATATATACATATACATACTCGTTTATGAGTACATATATATAGAAGTTTATTATCTTCTACCCAAATTTATTAGAATGATTTGATTGATGCAAACAAGGAAGGTGACTGCTTGTGAGTTGTATAGGCATCATACCAGGTAAAGGGCAGAACTAACAGCAAAGTGTTATTTTTCTATAGAAGTATACTAGTGACATACTAGTACAGAACGGACTATAAAATATTCAGGTTAAGTGTCGCTGTCATAACAATGAAGCTGTGGACAATATAGTCTGTCTTGGAACCTGCATATTCGTAGACACGAATAACAATATCAGCATAGAAATCTAACCCAGAATCATCACTCATGCCAACAGATTCTGCTATGAACTGAGCAGGAAATGAAAATGTTAAGTCCTAGCGGACCAAGCTCTATATGGCTCTCTTAATATTAGTCCTACTATATGGTGGAGAGTCCTCAACCATATCGATGAGCTGGTCTTGGGAGAAAAGTTTTGCGTACGATTTATTATACTGTTGGCACTGGTTATAGTGAATATCGCAGTCTATGAAACGAGGAACTATACGAGGTATTTGCAGGCATTGACGTGGCCTAGCGAGTTAAGAGACAATGACAGGTTATGTTTTGTCATCAGAATGGGCGAAAAAACTTCAACTTTGAAGTGGAAGACGTTTTTTGGGTTGGCGCCTGTCATGGGTGTCATCTAAGGGCGGCTCAAGTAATATGATTTTTTGATGGCTTGGGACTTCATTGGGCGTCATATGTTCTTCCGGGTATTGTAGGAGAGCAGGAGCTCTTGCTGAAATCGGGTGACGGAAGTCGCTTGGGCTTGAGATTAAGTTGTGATATTTCGGTCGGTCGGTATTGGTCGGTATGATGAAAAAACTTTATAATTTTGTGCGTTTCTACTGATGCGTCTGAGGGTCGGGCGTCCATTGCCCGCTACACTGCAGGCTGCGAATATTTTTCCGGTAATTTGAGAAAGATTGGCGGTCATAGAGTAGGTTTTTGCTGGAAGAGTTATCAATATAATTAAGTAAGTAGTGCCTGTGGACTTCTTCAGGACAGGTTTTCTAGCCTTCTTGTGTTAGATGGATATTACTTTTATTTTTGGGGTTTTTCTCTGAGTTTAATATTCATTTAGTGGGGATGGGAGGCCTCTTTGATCCTAGAAGTAAAACATAATTCACAACTAGTAATGCTTCTAGCATGACCAAGCGCTGAACGCTTTCTGAAGGTGCGGGACGAGCGGGCCAACTGAAAATTATAATCTCATAAAGGAATACTAAGAGCAGCAGCACAAGAGTGAGGAGAGAGAGAAGAAAGTTCGTAGTCGTTGTAATTGTACGCCTATAAGATATGCACATTGAGCTTACATCCTTAAAAGGTCAAAAACTCGTTGACGGTACAAAAGTAACTACGATTGGGTGCTTCTGAGTGGTAGCTGCGGAACCTGAGCACGCATTCGCTGCAGTATGAACATAGACACACACAGCTCTGTATTTACAATGAAAATATTACTAAGCCATCGTGTTGCTGCCAAGTTGGTTCTATATAGAGCACGGTGCGCACGTAAATTCAGTTCATTTAATGCCTTGTTAGCTTAATTGAGCTATCGCCTAATTAGTCGCCTGAATCTCGCCTTATCCGTTAGTAAAACATTTTAATCTAAACAGCAAACAAGTGCGTGCATGTTGGACGAGTATCTATGCAATACACCCGAACCATAGAGCAGACGCGCGCGCACCGAGTGTCTCCACCGCATGATGCATTGTAGTTCGATGCACAGTTCAACGCGCGAAGGCATGGAAATTGCGCACATACCAAAATGGACACAACAACGGCGGCCAACATCCAATGTGAAAATCGCCAGTGAAGGCGAAGGGGCGAAGGAGGGCGCGCGAACACTGTTAGGTGCGGACCACAACTGTGAGTACATACCACATAGACAGCTTGGTGAGCTTAGTGCGAATACATAAGTTCGAAATGCAATTAATAAATATCTCGCACACCCAAATGGCTGGCAATGCAATGGCGGGAGAGAGATCTACACACGAGCAATTACTTTTATTTTTTATATATTTATTTTTCTAATTATTTATAGGTAGACAAACAATTGCCATTAACAATAAGCAATAGTTGTCGCGTGCTCATCAAACGGTATATTTATTCCCAGCTTAGAGCAAACGCTGATAAGTCGTATAGAGATCCCTGATCGAGAACCAAGTTCCCACGACACCACCAAAAAATCCAAAGGTGATCAAAAACAGATCTTGCCACAGATAAATGTTGTAACGTCCAAACCCTGAGCTGTAACGCAAGCACAAATCCAGTATACCGGGAAATATCAATCCAAGGTAGGACAGCGAGAAGGAGCCAACGAGCGAGAGAATTAAGACCAGTTGAGAGCTCATGACAGCGGCGAGCACTGAAAAATACAGGAGTTATGAAAAACAAAGTTAAAAAAGAAATGAAGAAAAAGGAAACGAAATAAAATAAAATAAAATAAAAAATGAAACAAAATAAAATAAAATAAAATAAAATAAAATAAAAAAAATTAAATAAAATAAAATAAAATAAAAACCAATACAAGAAAATAAAGTAGAAAAAATAAAATAGAGTAAAATATAATAAAATGAAATCAAATAAAAAAGCATAAAATAATATACAATAAAATAAAATAAAATGAAATGAAATAATATAAAATTAAATGGAATAAAATAGAATAAAATAAAATAAAATAAAATAAAAAAAATTAAATAAAATAAAATAAAATTAAATAAAATAAAAAAATGAAACCATATAAAATAAACACCAATAAAAGAAAATAAAGTAAAATATAATAACATGAAATAAAATAAAATAGCATAAAATAAAATCAAATCAAATAAAACTAAATTAAATTTAAAAAAAAAAATTAAAAATGAAATAAAATGCAGTAAAATGAGTTAAAGTAAAATAAATTAAAACAAAATATAATGATATAAAATAGAATAATTTAAATTAAACAATTTAAATTAATTAGAATGAAATAAAATAAAATAAAAGTTATTCAAAAAAATGGAATATAAATGCATTTAAATAAAATGAAAAAAAAAAATAATAAAATAAATTAAAACAAAATAAATGTAATATTACATTAAAGTAAAATGAAATATATTAAAATTAATTAAGACAAAATAAAACAAAATAAAATAGAATAAATTAAATTAAATTAAAATGAAATAAAAACAAAAATAATTAAAGGATATAAAAATAAAATAAATTAGAATGAAATAAAAAAATATTGTTTATAATGAAAAACAAATAAAATAATTGAAAGTGAAATAAAAAATTGAATATAAATAACATAAATTAAAATTAAAAAAAAATAAAGTATATTAAAACAAAATAAAAAAATATATTAAATTAAAGTAAGATAAAATGAAATAAAAATAATTAAAATAAACTAAAATCAATAATAAATAAGACAAATAAAAATAAATTAAAATAAAATAAAACCAAATAAAACAGATCAAATTAAATTAAAATAAAATATAAAATAAATTAATTTAAATTAAAATAAAGTAAAATCAATAATAAGTAAAAGAAATAAAAATTAGTTAGAATGAAATAAAATAATATGATATATAATAAAAAACAAATAAAATAATAAAAAGTTTAATAAAAAATGGAGTATAAATAAAACTAAAATAATAATATAAATTAAAATAAAAAAAATAAGATAAAATAAATTAAACTAAGATATAGATATTTTAAGTTAAATTAAAATAAAATGAAATGAAATTGATTAAAATTAATAAAAATAAAATCAGTAATAAGAAAGAAAAATAAAAATAAATTACAACATAATAAAATAAATAAAACAAAGTCAAATAGATCAAATTAATTTAATATAAAATAAATAAAACAAAATGAAATTCAACAAAATAAAATAAATAAAATAAAATAAAATGAAATAAAGTAATATAAAATAAAAAAATAATGGTAGATCTTTTTATTTTCTGCTCACCTGCACCAAGTACTATAGCTATACGCAATACATATTCCAAGGGATGCGATTGCTTCAAAGTCATATATTCTGAATATCGCCGCCAGCACACCTCGATGGTTACATAACCTTGCAAAGCGAATGATAAATATATCGCCATTGCGAACATGAGCTTAGCTAACCGGGGTAAGCTGAAAATAAAAGATTACAATTAGTTATGCTCGGAAAAATTAAAATATCATAAGAAGAAAGTCTGAATTTCGGTCATGTTAGACACAATTATTCGAATGGTCGTGCTTCACATTATTAAAATTAATTGCACCTAAACTACGTAATACAACTATTTATTACGATAGCTAGAATTTGCACAAGAATTCTAGGGTTAAGCTAGCCGTGGGGTTTTATAGTTGGGAGAGAAGTTTGTCTAAGCAAAGTGTAATGGTGAGTTTCGGGATGTTTAACAACCGTCGCATTGCCACACTGCATAAAAATTTATCTTGGTCTTAGTTTCATTTGTGGCCAGAGGATTTTCATTTTTACAAGACAGAACAAAACAATGCAAGCAATCGACACATGTCATGTTATTTTGTCATATTTAGTGAAGACTGATGAATACATTCCCATTAAAGTTGAGTCTTCAAGCCGACGCTACGCAAATTCGTTTTAGCCAAAGGTAGTTTGTGAAATGAAACTTACCAAAACTTCAAGTGAAATGAGTCCACTTACAGTTCATCCATTGGTAAATTTGACGTAATGCTATCCTTAACCCGCTCACCGTAACGCCAATAACCGAAAAAGGCCACCAACGCGTAGAGCATCAGCGATGTACCCAAGCCCATATTCAATAAACCATATAAACCTAAATAGTCCTTGGGAAATTTCATTTTAGCCTCAATGGAAATTATCTGTAAAAATAACATATGAGTTAAGCATTTAAATAAATATAAATAAATCTTTATAATGGTTAAATGTCTGTACGGAACATAATACCAACCACACCCACGGATTCTATGGCAAACAGCACCGTGCCGAAGAAAAGAGGATATCCTTGTATATTGGCAAAAGCTACGCGCTGCGACAACGCTGACAAATCCGTCAAAATGTAGTAGAAAACAATGAGAAAACCTGTAAATTATCATTCAAGTTTGCATCACATTAATCAATTACATAATTACAAGTCTACTCAATACTAAAACAAATCAGGGCATCCGCAAGCGCATTGAACGGCACCAGATTCTTTAGATCGCGTACCAAATAAATTGATGAGAGCGGTACCGTTAAAGCGAATATATAGAAGCGATTATCGATTTCATAACCATAAAAATCTATCAATTCCTTGAGATTATCAGCGATGAAGATGACATAAGCGCAACAGACGCCAAAATGATAGAAAGCCAAAATGAAGTCAATGGTGGAGCTGAAATCGAGGAGAGACGTGCAAGTAAGAATTGAAATTATTCTTTGAAAATTATTTACCAAATATATATATAAACAAAAGAATAAGTGAAGAAATTAAAAAAATATACATTCTTATTTCTTAAAAAAAAGTAAAAAAAAATTTTAAATAAATAATAAAGCATAAAATTATTAAGGAGTAAACAAATAAATTATCAGTAAACAATTAAAAAATAAATAAATAATTATGTAATCAAAAAATATGTATATTAAATAAAAAACAACAAATAAATAAACATATTAATTAATTGCTAACAACTAAACAAACAAATAAATAGAAAGGTAAAAAATAAGTATAAAAATAATAATTTATAGCAAACAAAAAGTAAATAAAAAAATTTTGAATACATAAATTAATAAAATAATTAAGAAATTTATAAAAAGTAAATAAATAATAAATAATAAACAAATGAATACAACTCTATTAGCAGCAAACAAATATATAAAAAAATGAATAAATAAAATACACAAATGCACGTAATTTAATTATTAAACAAATAAACTAAACTCAAATAAAAAAATAATTCAATTAATTACGAAATAAAGAATTAAAAACTTTAATAATTATATAAAATTGTTAAAAATAGTATTATATAGTTCAATAAATAAAGTAAATAATAAATAAGTAAATTAGCAAATTAGTAGGTAACCAAAAAATAACTAATTTATAAAACAACAAAAAATTAAATAAGTAAATAAACAAAAATTAATTTTTCAATAAATAAATATTCAATTATTCAAATTATTAAATATATTAAACTATTTATAATTAATAAAAAATAAGTAAACACATAAGTAAAGAGGTAATAAATAAATAATTAATCAATATGTCAATAAATATTTAAAATTAATAAAAAAATAGTAATTAAATAATACATTTATTAATATAACTAATAATAATAACAAAAAAAAACAATTAAATTATTAATAATTAACGGCTTATCAAATAAATATATTAATAAAAAAATGGATAAAAATAAAAAGTACGTAACAAATAATTAAACACTAAAATAGGTTAGCTTCAACAGAAATTAATGAAAAACATATGTTTAAATAATAAAATAAAAACAAATAAACAAGTAAATAATTAAAATTGTAAAATAAAAATAATTATAATTTTATTAAGTAGAAAATAATGAAATAAATTAAATTGGCCAAATGAACATATAAATAATTGAAATTAAATACATAAATAATTAAAATAATTGATTGAAAAATAAATAAACAAATTAGTAAACAACACATTAATAAATAATTAGTAATTAACTAAGGAAAGATATTGATAAACAACTAAACAATGTAATAAAATAATTTAATTATATAATGTAAAAGTTATTTAAAAAAATGGAATATAAATGCATTTAATAAAATAAAAAAAAAAATAAAATAAATTAAAGCAAAAAAATGTAATATTACATTAAAGTAAAATAAAATATATTAAAATTAATTAAGACAAAATAAAACAAAATAAAATAGATTAAATTAAATTAACTTAAAATGAAATAAAAACAAAAATAATTAAAAGATATAAAAGTAAAATAAATTAGAATGAAATAAAAAAAATTAATTTATAATAAAAAACAAATAAATTAATTAAAAGTTAAATAATAAATTGAATATAAATAAAATAAATTAAAACAAAATAAAAATATATTAAATTATAGTAAAATAAAATGAAATAAAATTAATTAAACTAACTAAAATTAATAATAAATAAGACAAATAAAAATAAATTAAAATAAAATAAAACCAAATAAAATAGATTAAATTAAATTAAAATAATATATACAATAAATTAATTTGAATTAAAATAAAGTAAAATCAGTAATAAATAAAATAAATAAAAATAAATTGGAATGAAATAAAATAATATGATACATAATAAAAAACAAATAAAATAATAAAAAGTTTAATAAAGAATGGAATATAAATAAAACTAAAATAATAATATAAACTAAAATAAAAGATAAGATAAAATAAATTAAACTAGGATACAGATATTTTAAGTTAAATTAAATTAAAATGAAATGAAATTGATTAAAATTAATTAAAATTAAATCAGTAATAAAAAAAAAAAAAAAAAAAAATATTGAGTTAAATAATTAAATATTAAATTAATAAGTAATTAGTTATTAAAATAAAATAATAAATATAAAAAAATTTATAATCGAATAAATAAAGAAAAATTTATAAATAACAAACATGTTCAAAAAAATATTTAAGTAATTGAATACTTGGACAAACAAATAAATAAATATTTGTTTAAGAAAAAGTAAATAACTAGTGGAAATTTATATATAAAAAACAAGTCAAAAACAAATAAATAAATGAATAGTAAGAATTAATAAATTAATAAGTATGTAATTATATAATTAAATAGACAGAGAATAAGTTAAAAAAGCTAGTGGGTACAAAGCGCCAATTTGTTATATTTTAATTAAAAAATAAATAAATTAGATATATTAATTATTTAATACACGAGTATATAAATAAAAAAAATAAATAAATAATTAAATTAATAAAAGTAAACAAATAAATAAATAATTTATTATAACCAACCGCGCACTTCCGCTTAGAAATCGTAAATATTTCGGACCCCCTTCCAGAGCCAGCGCCATCGAGTCTGGATAATTCAGTTGCGGTACACGCTGCCGTTTGCAGAGCTCGTACATGCCTCGCAGCTACATATGTAAAAAAAAAATTACTGCATTTGACTTGAGTTTCTTTCGCTCACACATTACCAACACATGCAAAGCGTATATAACGACACAGCCAATTATTGCGGTACTAATTAAACCGTTGAGCCAACCAGCGGCTTGAAAAGCTTTCGGCATCGCCAAACAACCGATGCCAATGGAGGCCTTTAACAAGCTGATGTAAACCTCAAAATTGCTGGGGGGACAAATTAATATTTAAATAAATAGAAATTCCATTATGCGAATTTAGTGCAAACCTCATTGGATTCTCAATCTTTCGATGCTGGTGAGGATCATAGACATCATTCGTGCTGTTTTATATTAGAGATATTGAAGTATTTACACAATTTTTTCTTTATTTGAAAAAAATCAGAGACTTACTTCACGTTCTCCATTGCGTAAGACAAGAAAAATGAAATAAATAAATATTCTTTTTAATTGACAACTTAAATTTTGGAGCGAATTCGTTGATTCAAAAACGAGTTGGAGCAAATGTAATCGATCCTTTCAAATCGATAAGTTTTGGAAAGATCGGAGAAAAGAGAGCAAGTAATAAGAAGAATAGTAAGAAGAGCAGTATGAAATATTTATACATTAGAGCTCAAGATTTTTTGTCTGAACATTTCTTGGCAAGGTTTTTTCGAAAACAAAATTTTGGGCATTGGACAAGACAAGACTGACCTATCATTCTTATTTATGGCTCGATTATCAATTATTATTTATTATCAATTTAGAATAGGTACATAGGTAGCTTTTTGATTAGAGTAAGAGGAAGACTACACTTATATCCGGGAAGTGGACCAGAGACTGAGCTATTCATAAAGTCGGATTATTCCTCTCTTTGCGAAGTGGACGAACGGATGATAGATTTTCTTGAGATGAATTAGCTCCCTCGAAGATACCACCTTCTGTTACATGTATATTTGGAAGACATTCAGAATTTTTGGGCTATCGTCCCCCGTTTCTACTACTGCTGTTACAGCTGAGTCATCTTTTGTAGTCTCCTCTGCCATTTAGAGGTCAGTCATATTTAAACCTAAGTTACGCTCCACTTCAATTGCTTCTATTGTGTTCACGTTGTCGTCCTGTGGGCTTAGTTGCTTTGGAAGCTTTAGGTGTAGAGGGCCTTCAGCTTCTTACTGATCTGGAGAATAAAGCTGGAGATGAAGCTTTCCTTTAGCTTAGATACCTTAAGTAGCTTCCAATTCCGTGTTTCTATTTAATATACAATACATTTGAGTTTTGAGTTCTAGAGCCTCTACGACTAGTTAGTTATGTTCACCTTAACTCTGAAGGAATGGAATCACTCCCATTAGCCAATCTAACGACGCTGAGTCTATGAATTTGATAAATTTTGTTCCACTGAATTAGCCTGTACAAGCAAAGAAGACATACGATTATCTGTGTTTTACGCAGCCGTTTAATAGTTTCTTGCCAACAGATTTTCTGCTTTCAGCGGTATTCTTTTCAAATTCTAGCCACTTCAGATATCTTTATTTTGACTTCCTATCCAAATTCAGCTACCTCCATGAACATTGCTTCTTGAATTCTCTCCCAAGTGTGACTGTGGAATAGCACTCGCCTATTAGCTGTACTCTGACGGAGTCGTCGGTCACCACTTTCCTAAGGATCTGAAAGGGAGACCTTTCTGTTCTCCTTATTCGATTGAGGTGTCAGAAATGCTCCGTTTTAGTACAGCCGATATTACCCCTAGCCGCAAATCGTTGAATATGCATGGATGGTAGATCTTGGTTGCTTTGTTCCGCCAGGAATTGCGTTCTTTGGTAAGTTTTAGGTTAAGTTCCGTTTAGGTCGGTATCAATATCATCGCGTTAATGAAGTGAAAGCAAGTCCGCGAAGGGACTGTGCAGACCCTGCTCTAACCTTGGAGCACAACTCTTGACTTCCATAATAAAACACTTTGTTGAGCAATGCATCTCGTTGGCTTACTGCTCCTTCAAACAAAAATTTAAATACAACGACAGCGAACCTCCTTTTCCACGTCAAGCACCCACATGTTCGTCTGATGACGATCAGTTTGTGGGTCGAACGACAACTACCCAACAGCATGTACCAATTTGTTTTTCCGTTGTTGCAGTTGCAAACACACGTCAACATGATTTTAACAACAACAATAAAACATCACTACTGATAAAAACCCATCCAATGAAGGCCAAACCTTGCTTACCCGCATACAACAGAGAACGCGTGGCATGGCAACATGCTGCTGTTGCTGTTGCTGCTGCTGCCATATGTAAATTGTCAACTGCCTTTTTTTCTGTAAATCACGCACTGTGACTACAGTGAATGGCGAACGAATGCGTTGGTGGTCCTCGTCTTTGGCATGTGTTGAATCGTCGCGCCGACCTTGAGACTAGCCATCAGCGGCAAGCCGGTAGTGGGTTTCTACTTTATTACCTGGCAAACACTTACGGTCGCGGGCGTCCGCATCACCACCACCAGTCACCAGCCACCAGCCACCGGCATTTGAAGTTGCGACTTGTTGTATGCGGTTGACGTGCAACATGGTTTTGTGGGCGCACAACATGATCGGCTTGAGCCATGAACCACAAGCTATTCAAGCGCGTTTACAGTGTGCGGTAACACGAAGAACATAGCGGAGCATGTGAGGTGAGAAGTGGCTGGGATAGATTTCATTGATGCAGCAATGTGAGGCAATTCTCGCTGGAAGGCGGAGGATAAACAGTTATTTTTTTTTCGGAAAGGCTACGGGAAAAAGGTGAGTGTATCCTGTTGCCGGCTCAATAGAATTGACTACAACTTACTTATAGTTTAGAATAGAGTTATTGGTACAGTGAGTTTCGCTAAGTCCGAGATAGAACTCAAGGCTTCGAAATCTTCAACTTTATTCGAACATTCTGAGCTCTAGTTCGAACAATCCCAGCTGCCACCGAATAGTGGAAAGAAACCAACCGTAATCCGGAGTTGAGATCAAGTATCGGAATTTGAGTCGAACTTGTAAATCAATGGAACCAATAACCATGTAGAACAGAAACTACAGTAGCCGCGCCAAAAGGAGTTAATTGGAAACCATTACCAGCTCAATGTGAGAATGGAATAGAAGAATTGGAACTTAGTGAATTTAATCGGGGTCGAGCTAGTGCCTGCAATTTCGAACACCAAGCTTTTAAAAATCATACAATATTCCTATCTCGGTAAACAGGTTCGGTTCCATTTTCTTCCGAAGGTAGACAGATTCAGCCGTAGTCAAAGCTCAATACCATCGCTATTTTATTTAATAATATTTCGCTCCGGAACTGCAGAAACAATATTTTCATTCTACCGCAACTACACCGTGATGTAGTAGCAAGGAACTAGTCGGAGTCTCTGTGAAGCTCCACTCACAGAGAGAACCCCAAAAATAGATGTCAGTTGTAATAGTAAGCTCTAGTACGAGTATGTCAGTAACATCTTTAATGAAGCCAGGCTTAAAATCAAGGGTCCAAAAACTCTTTTGTCTGACTCCATACCAAGTAGGCATTGCGAGGGCACTTGAAACAGCTTTTTTTGGAACTTTATTCGTTTAGTCACAGCGCGGAGTAATGGAATGTAGCGAAGATTCTGGGTATGTACCTACAGTCACCGGGCTATACAAAATTCCTACAGTTGCGTCCACGTCGCGCACTCCGAAAACGTGAGCAAGCCTTGTGCAATATGCGGTAACCAACCCATGTGGAGCCTTGGGTCACGACTAAAAGAAAGGAAGCTTCAGTGCAGCCACTCCGACTTATTCGGTTTAGGGGCCGCTGAAGCCTGAATGCTGCGTGTGTTTGCCAGAGATGTGGCTGCGAATGGTCTTCAGTCTTGAAGTACGCGGCTCGCTCCGCAAGGGTCTTTCGAAACCGAGCTCAAGTGGTACCCACCTATTGTAAGGTGGTCTCTAGGGTTACTACGAAGCCCACTTTAACGGAATTAAGGCAACAAAAGCTTGCAAACTCCATTCATCGAAACCGAAGTGGCAGGGGGTGTGATTCGCAACATCAACAGCGCATACTTCATTCATGCTAATACGACTTATCGCTTGTTGTCCGCGTCCAATGCTTTATCACACATCAATGTCAATATGCAAATTACACAAACTCACACCAGCGCATTAACGCAGCCTAAACTCCGCACTTTGGTTCTGGGTCTTTGTGTTTTGCTGAGCTCAAGTCTTGATGGAAACATGAGCATTTGCGCTGGTGCGGCAGTGTTGTGCCATGCGGTAATGCGCACGCGCGTCGCTGTAGATTACAACACAAATAAATTACTTACACAGTCGTCGCGCGGCATCCCCCCGCTGCTCAGTACGCGGTTGTCGGGAAAACAAGCGACGAAATGCGATATTTCACACGATTTATGGTTACAACCTTGTAAACAACGCGTACAACAACAACAACGAGAACTACTACTACTACTACCACTTCTTGTACCGGGGCAGCTACTTAGGTTTGCCGTAGTGCAACTCTAAAAGGCAACCAAGTTGACAATGACAAGAACAGCAAGAACAGCAGCAACTTTTGCCAGTCTTTTTTTTCTACGTCTCGTCCATGCCACCAGCAGCTGTGTCTTTATACTACTTACGCTTGTTACCCCGTCCGCTCTGGGTGTTGACTGTCATCAGCGCTTTGCGGCAAGGTTTCAGATTGACGTTCTCGCATGGCCTGTGCGCTGTCGCTGAACGCAACATTTGCCAACAAAAAAAAATTGTAATAATAAAAATAAACATCAGCAGCTCCCACAGGTGTCAGTCGGGGCTTTTGCAACAACAACTACGTCCGTTGCGTTGCCATCACTTTTTCCGCTATATCCGCTGAGCTGCGACGACGGCAGATACACTTTAGTCTATTCGCCGTTTGGTCTACCAGCTGACCAGAAATGGTTTATTCGTCAGCTGAATTAGGCATTTTCGTTAGAGTCTCTTCGGATGTGTTAAAATGATCATTTGATGGTGTCTCCATGGACATTTACAGATAAGTTTGCTTTTAATTATTTTTTTTTTTTTTTGCTTTTTTCGTTTTTAGTCTTGGTTGTAAAAGCTTTAAGAAAGAAATCACCTCTCTGCTGGGTAAAGGGGATTGCTTTAGACTAGCTGTGACCACTATGTATGACAGTCAGAAAAGATGTGTGAGGTGTAGTGAGACACAGAAAAGATCGGCGTGATGGAAGAGTCGGCAAATCTTCAACGAAGAGCCAGTAGCGGGAGTGCCTTAAGACTTTGAATAAGCAAACAGACCTTAAGATCTGCAGTCGAAAGCCAGTAGACTGAGTGAATAGATTCTATATCAACTTTACTAAGAGCCTTTGGATCTTTAGCGAAGAGCCAGCCGGGAAAGAGTAGTATAATACAATATAGACTAACTTGATAAATATCCTACGGATCTTCATTAGAGAGTGTATGGAGTGTTAAGTAGGACATAAAATACAATAATTTCACTGATGGTTTTGGGATCTTCAAAGAAGGCACGG